TATTGTAAATGAAGCAAGAGGCTTTCAATTCCGGAACGCCTGGTCCTATTATCATTGTTCCTTTTCACGCGTTTCCGTGTATTCTCTTGTTCCGTTTTATTTACTTCTAGCTATAAATGTGATATGGTGACCTTAAATTGCAAATCAACAATGATGGCATATAAACACACATATACCGATGCTTAGATAAATCTCCTGGTCGAAAGCCTATCTGTGTATGTCATCATATGGCCATATAGCGACAGACGTGTTCGTAACCAATAATTTACTGTCTACAACATCTGTTTCACATCACTGAACCTTGACGTTAAAAGATACTTGGACTTTTCTCCAATTAACCCACGTATCGTGTTAGGGTGCAAGGATGCAAGACAAATTGGCTCCTTCGATTCATGCCGAAAGTGTAGTAGATGTATTTCCAATGTGTACCATTTCCTCCCCCGTACACAAAACAGTCTTACATGAAAAAAAATACTTACACTGAGATGAGTAAGAGAACTGAACTAGAACCAATAACAATTAATCCAGGAGCATTATTCGAATTTCTGCAGTAGGGTCAGTAAAAAACCTCTTTGAATAGCCTGCAAAAGGTGAATTGAAAGAAATGAGATTCCTATTTATTAAATGTATGTATCGTATCTTAAATGAGTTCCTATATTTATATATGAGATTTATCAATCTACGCACGAGATGGAATAATCTGCAAAGATTAATAAAAAAAAAATACCGTCAAAAGATATCATTCCATACGAAATATTTACATAAACTTATTTTATTGCATTGTCGAAGAAGCATGCATTTCATTATGACTTTGAGTTAGCGTCACTGTGACGTCATGTCTATTTGGTATAAATGGATGACAGTACACGAGCTAACACGTATACAGTGGTAGTTGTGTCAAACAAATGTGTGTGTTAATTACACAGATACCAATCTAATTATCAAACATGTCTGTGTTAATGACACATACCAATGTAGTTATGTCGTAATCAAAATGGTGTTAATTATGTTTACTTTATTCAATACTGGCTATATATTTTAAAGTCATAATTCGCATATGCATTTTTTTATTTGAAATGCATAAAATATTGTCACAAGTTCTGCATTATAACGAAAGTATTAGCTCTTTGGATACACAGAACGTAGCGTCGCTGTTAAAGAACACTGATACATGAATATCCTATTTTCTAAAGGTTAAATATGTTTGACCTATATAAGCAATGCTATCTTTTTACTTCAAGGGAGTCAAATTTACATGAATGGCTTTTTCTCAAAGAAATTGGAATAGATGCGATTATTTTAAGCAATCGTCGAGAATGACACATATAAATAGGAAAAAATACTTCTGATTTACAGACGACTTTGAAGAAACGAAATATGATTTACGACTTTTATTGCAATATCTAGGGCATCTGTGTTTCCGTCGCGATTCTACCTACTTTTTATTTTCGAATGTGTTTCCTAGGCAACCGCCTTCATATAACCTTGGATGTTGCAAGAACGATGAACCCTCAACAAACAATAACCGGTAATATAAATAAGTCAAGATATATGTTGAATTCTTACCTTTTGGAAGATCAGATTGCTTATATTTCATAAATGACGTTTGTAAAACTCCTTTATTTAAAACGATTACTTGTATTGTATTCGTATGGTATTGGGGAACTGACACATATCTTGTTTTAAACGCACATAAACGATAAATGAACTGAAGTGTATATTATGTTATTCATCAAACATCAATATAGATGACATTATTCATCAAGTGTCGATACTGTAACTGACCTAATTCATCACCAATACTGTAACTGACCTAATTCATCACCAATACTGTAACTGACATAATTCATCAACCATCAACACTGTAACTGACCTAATTCATCAAACATAAGCACTGTAACAAACCTAATTCATCAAACATAAACACTGTAACTAACCTAATTTATCAAACATCAACACTTTAACTGACCTAATTCATCAACCATCAACACTGTAACTGACCTAATTCATCAAACATCAACACTGTCACTTACCTAATTCATCAAATATTAACACCGTAACTAACCTAATTCATCATACATCAACACTGTAACTAACCTAATTCATCAAGTATCAACACTAGAACTAACCTAATTCATCAAACATTAACACTGTAAATGACCTAATTCATCAAACATCAACATTGTAACTAACCTAATTCATCAAACATCAACATTGTAACTAACCTAATTCATCAAACATCAACACTGTAACTAACCTCATTCATTAAACATTAACACTGTAACTAACCTAATTCATCAAACATCAACATTGTAACTAACCTAATTCATCAAATATCAACACTGTAACTAACCTAATTCATTAAACATTAACACTGTAACCAAGCTAATTCATCAATCATTAACACTGAAATTGACCTAATTCATTAACCATCAACACTGTAACTGACCCAATTCATCAAACAACCAATATGTAAATGACTTTAATCATCAAACATGTAATTTTAATCAACCTTCCATAATATTACAACATTGAATATTTTTGTGAAACGCTGATTCCAACACTCGTGTGTCAAATTTAGTACATACATTCTATATAAATTATTATTAATTTTCCTCGTAACATTAGTTTTTAATATGTGATAGTCTTATTTCTTGACCAATGACGTCACAGCGCGTTCTTATAGGCCATGATTTATATCATATTTCTGTCACAGATTGCTTTCTTCGTTTAAAGGTGAATATAAAGTTGATATTAATCTACTATGACAAATACATTATTTTTTTCATTTTCAACATAAAATTGCCCAATCAGCTCATCAGGTATTACTAAGAGAAATAACAAACATCGTAATTATCAATTGTGACTCATTTGTGTTTGAGGAAAATGCACTATCTGTTGAACGAAACCCATGTACACGTATTTATACTCATCAAAAATATGTATTTTGATGTTGTCTGTTTCCGATATCAATAACCGGGAAAAAAAATCAAGAAAAACATAAGTAAATGTCATCAGAAAATACATGATATTACATTGGGATATATTTCCTGGGGGAATATGCACCACAACAAAATATTTCATATCCTTTCTGCGAATCCACTTTATCTCCTATAAGAAGGTACGTTTCAATTCTGGACTGACGTCATTATTGGTACTTCTGGAGAGTAAAGGTGCAAATGGAAAGGACTGTTGATTCATTTAGCTTGTTATAGGAGTTCAGAGCTATTTGATCTTGCTTTTTATTTTATAAAAGACAGATATTGTCTATGTGGCTATACCCCCTGTTGCTACCATATCTTCCTTGCTCATGAATAATGACAAACTCTATTTTATATATGCATGTGCACTTTGAAAACAACTCCTATCAGATGATACCGTTAGTACGATATCTAGTCGAGGTTTAATCGTACCTTCCGCTTCATTTCCTGTTTGCCAGCATCAACACACAACTAGGTAGGTTATTAAGTTTCCAATGCACTCTACTGATAGTTCAACCAATGTGAGGCTACATATGGAATGTGTTGACATTTACTTGTGTAAGCCAGGCGCTCTGGCATACAAATAGAACCACTCGGAACCGCCAGAGGAGATCATTACATGTCCCATGTGGTCCATAGCAATAGAAAACGGAAGCAGAAGGCACGAGCTATATCCCAAACAAATACAACACACTGAGGCGTACAGTTGATTTAGGTTACAAAGTATGCGTTGGCGTTGAATTACAGTATTCAATCATACTTAAAAGAGAGCATCGTGTTACTTAGTTCCAAACCTGATGCATTCCATGTAGAATTCATTTTACTTTATTGCAATTTTTTCTGTAGTCATAAATACTTCAAATTAGTTACGGTAAACAGAATGTAATATGACTTTCTGAATGCTGACATATTACAATGACTTGCAGAAGATTGAATAACAGCTGCATCTCTAGCTCGGTATCACCGGCCCGTGGCCGGTGATTAGTCTCTGGTTCTGAATCGTTGCTGTCTGGTTTTAATAAACACATGACTTATCAACACCTCAGTTCTGATTGCGGTAGCTATTATTCCATAACGTCTTCATTTTGGTGAAAAAGTAACTTTAGTTTCACTTGTGATTAGATGAATGTAATAGTGATATGGACGAAATGGTGACTAAGTGAGACTTGATACGTTTGCCATGGTAACAGCTTCACTAGAACAGCTTCATGCAATACATTTTCCGAGCTTTTTTTGTGTGTGTGTTATTTTCTGGGTCGGAATGAAAAGAAGCATGCGTCGGATATACACTTCCTGTTTATTGTCATCATTTCAACAGACATTTCCGGCACAATAACACATTGACGCTTACATTTCTCCCTTTTATCACCGATGAAACAATAAACCGAAAGTACATCGGATTTACAAAAAGGAAAACTCTCATAACTGGCAAAAGTTAAATTAAAAAGAACGTTGGTTTTGAAATTAATTAGAGAGACAGGCTTTCCTGGAAAATAATAATATGGTAATGTACTGAAGTATATAGCTCGCGTACCCATTAGTCCCAACATCAAACACAAATTGTATGTAAAAGTATCCTCCGTCCCATTTAGTAAACATAACTAGTTGTTATTGTTAGGATTAATTATGCATGAATATCAGCAAAAAACAATATAGGGTAAGTCACAAAAAATACTAAATTTGAACTTGTCTATATAATATTGTTTCCACAATACTCTGTCATAATTTGATACTGTTTTATTGTCAAGTAAATCAGCCTTCACTTAAATAAAAACATATAAACCCAACACTATCGGCTTGACCTTGCCCAGTGGCTTTAACTGATTAAAACGAAAAATTGTAAAATGATTTTACACCTTACCATTCTTTCATATTTATTACGTATTATGTATTTAAATAAGTATTTTTTGACACGAAGTGTACTATTTATTCACTAGTATGTGTAAGATAGTCTTAACTGTATTGTTTATGTTAAACAATATAATAATGATATTGACCACTCTGCCGTTTCCTTTGCAGACCATGAGTTTGACGATCTTGAGATGCAGGTCGTACGTTATAAGCCGGAGGGGCTGGATACGCTCTGCCGAAATACCAAATTCTCTCGGAAAGAGCTGCAGATAATGTACAGAGGATTTAAACAGGTAAACAATAATTTTCATAAAATATTCATACAAATTATCATGATTATTTGGTTAAAGTAAATGAGTTATAAAGATAATTTCTTTCTTTTATCCTGACCTTATGAGATTTTCGTCTACATGGATTAATGTTATATGACATATATTAGTTAACCTTTAGGAATAAAATGTGACATAGTGTCGTATAAGGTTTACAAGTGGTTTCAAGTCTGAGTAGGGGACCATTTCATTGGTTCATCATCAAACAGACTCGTGTCGTTGTTTTGTCTGTTTATGAAGTTTTAAATGCTCGTTTATAATAATAACAAAATAATAACAAAAGACTTCAAGATTCTCAAATATTTTGTGCATTGTACCATAAGCTGTGACTTGTCAACTTTAATCTAATGCACTAGACAGATCCCCATAAATCGTTTATGCTGAGTACACGTATTTTTGTACTTTGACAATCCTTTGCAGTATAAACATAAACCTTAGACTTTGTTGTGTATTTCCATCTCATGTAACGTTTGGAAGGAAAAAATAACACATCAAGCATGTGGAATTCAATTACCTGTGTGGTAAATTCTTTGACATTTCATGGTAGCCCGCGTTCAAATAGTAAAAATACTTCCTTGGTTTTGGTCCTTGTCCCTTGGGAGTAGTGATTGACAGCAGCTAACTTAAGCGCACGCAATAAGTATCTGAATTGCCGCACACGTTAGTTTGCGTTTATTTCATGCGACAGCATGTTCTAACTCTGGAAATAATGGCCCCATTATGGCCTGTTACTTAGGTTTTGTGCAATGGGATGGTTGTTTGGGTGCAGCTTATGCAGTACAGATACGTGTAGCGTGCAGTACAAACATTTCTACAACTGAAGCCAGTTTTTTTTTATCAAATTACATTTCATATGTAGAACACTACATTTGTGTTTTAACGAGAATTTTATACAGGAAAAACGATTGGAAAACCACCAACATTGGTAGCATCTTCACGTATCATTTGTATACTTTAGAGACAGAAAGCTCAGAAACAATATCTGCTTTTAAACGGTGACGCATCACATGGCGCTCGCATTGTTTCCGTACATAAGACATCCCTGTGATCCGGACTCTATGTAATATTTCATGTATGTAAATATTGCTGCTTTGCAGAGGCAGTATGGCTAGTGATCTTCATTCTTCATGTTTAATCCTTATTTCTATTAACAAACGTCCATGCAGTCAGTTAAGGTATTGTATATACATGTAACAGTAAGTATATTACTTGTTATAATTAGTGATAGCTGATATAACAATTTAACAGGTATATTTACTTCGGCAAGCGATAGGGCTATGATGTCGTGTCACCTAATCAGCGTTGTTTTCCGATTTTTTTTTTGTGGTTTTCGATTTTTTGCCTCGTCATGGATATGTCAATCAGACGCTTGAACTCTCCAGACGGAATCATGATCAATGGAATGTTTGTCTCTCATCTCAGTGATATTTTCATCCAGTTAATGTATCAAACTAATTTATTATCCCCCAGTGCTGCTATCAAACGGCACTGATCAAGAACACTCCCTAGTCTCGACTCAATAAGCGCTTTGAGGTCTTATCAAAACAGTCCATCTGCTTATTATGGAAGCCTGGCCAGGAAAGTTCATCTATGTCAATTTGGCGCTTAAAATCACAGGCTTTGGTAGAATTTGGTTCCAGGGGCAGCTTTTACACTTGACAACCAAGTTTATATCTGAGAAATTGTAAATGCAACATATTAAAAACTGCCAATTAACTTCTAAGTGGTAAATACTATATTACGAATGACAGGTATGGTTATCTAGCTAACATAAAACTTCTAATTTAACTAAGTTTAGAATGTTCAATACAAAATCATAGTGTTCAAAATCTGTAACGTTTCTTAAGGAAACATGTAGATATATAGAACATTAGGTAAAATGTATTGTTTAGTTAAGGTAAAGGCCTGTTTACCAGATTTGTCTACATCTTTTGGAAAGAACGTCTGTAAATAGCAACAGAGATAGGCAGCTTAATGAACCTCACTTTAGCTCACGAGGATAGTAATCGGCGCGCCTCGCACTGTTTGTCGGGGAGTTCGTCCTTATTTAAGCCACGTGAATGCGATCAATCCTCGATTGGAAAAGATGCGTACAAGTGTATGTGCCGGGCCTCGTTCCGGTGTACTACGCATGTCTACTGGTGATGTGTTAGAACCCCATTATCCTTCATACGTCGATATATTTCGCCAATATTGTGAACCAGGTCCATGGTATAGATTTATATATCTATAAACAGGGTCACAAATCGATACCGGAGATCCGCGTGGAGGAAAATCTAATTCCACCATTAATCAGTGAATACGGCCATTCGTTACCGTGGAAGTACTAGTGGAGTGTCCGTAATATCATCAGCACTTGTCCGACATCGGCCCCAGGAGGGACAATCCTCCATCATCACATATTCTCAATCTATGAAATGACAACAACTGAGACAGTTGCCATTACCATGATCGTCTTCACTCATTCGCCATGTTTTTACTGGTATCACCGGGCCTGTTTCGCATATTCGAGCACGTCATATCATCCTGTATAGACTTCATATATGATCCTCGTTTAAAGCACATTCTCTTTAGGAGATAAAATTATCAGTTCTTAGTGTGACTTACCGGCATAGGTTGTATTATTGCCAGCATCATATTGTGCAAAATAAATTGCTAACAGCAATCTCACAAAAGACAAAGGTGCGTATTGAATTCGAGGTCAACAAAGTCATGACATTAATGATTTCCACGTAACTTATAGTATTGAGCATGTGATATAAAAGGTAAAACAGCAGTATTTTAACCAATTTGAATATCAGAATCAGATCTGTCGCTTAAATATATTATTGGGGTTAATTGTCCCTGCAAAAGCCACTGGCATTTGAAGACAGACGCTCAGGGAGTCACCAACAGAAAGAAAGCCTAGAGATACAGATATGTAAATTCCACTTATTGCAAGGGATCAATTTCTGTTTCTATAGAATCCCCCTTAAGAAAACGCAAAGAAGATTCTCCCCTTTCTGCATGGTTCCCACATTACTCGTCTCTATTGATAGACAGTATTTGGATACAACAGATTTAGTCTTTCCCTGCCGGAGTTTCATAGGCGAAAGGCATGCGTCCTCATGATAAATAGCCATTGATTTAATAAAATTTGAACAGAGTCTGATTATTTGGGACAGTGAGGAAATCAACAATGATCAGCTGTCTCGATTATAATCACCAGGACACTGGGCTATTTCTTTACTGTCTTATCCACTTCCCTTATTGAAGTCTCTATTTATTTCTGATTTGCCCGAGCAACGTGACCGGATAAAGTGCCATAATTCCTTGTTCAACTGTTGACATTTCCTCGTGGTGACATTATATAAAATCTGTCCCAAAGTGACCTGATAAAATGCCGTGCTTCTGAGTTCAGCTGGTGATATTTCCTGGTAGAAACACTATACACTGTCTGTCCTATTTATGACAAGGTCGTTATATAGAGTTTTATTTTACATCATAACATAATATGTTATTGCACATTATCTACTGGTGAACCACTAACGGAATTATTACATTCACAAAAGACATGGGCCTTATCAGAGGGCGGCATTCAGGAGATGTCGATGTAGATGTTGTGGCATTCACAATTAAGCACGTGATTTAAGCAAATTTAATCCACATGACAATTCTATTATGTAGATGATTTTATAAAAAAATCCCTTAATGTTTGTTTATGATGTAGTATGAAGGCGATTCAACCTCATTCCTGGGTTACGCCAAAGTCCAAAATTAGATTATGACTAGGGAACCATTTAATTGGCATAATAATAGTTAATCAACTCATTTCTGAACATAATTCCATATAGTAAGGATCTTTAATTATGTGAAATAATAAAAATAGAATAAATAATATCAGTGTGCTAAGAGTACATAAGGAATTAGCCGCGATTCGAAGCCTGGACCGTCGACCACACTAGAATGTTTGATCTGACTTAGGTACCTGTAGACTGGGTCGTCTCTAGAATATTGAATTATTAAGAACAAAATTATCTCTAATAATTTTGATCACTTGGATGTCTGATTCTAGATCTAAATTAGGGGGAGATAAAGCTAGTAGTAAAATACAGTTGAGAAATTCTTCATGAAAACCTAGGGGCTGGTAGCCAGTCTAAGGTACCTGATGAACGGTAGTTTCTAACCCGGTCTTGCTACCGTTATGTCCGAAACCAATTTAAGGGAAGGCTACAAGACGTCATTATTTGGATATTGTCCTTTATTTTATATGATATGCAAACGTCTAACATTTCGGAATAGCAAAATCAGTTTATCCGAGGCGTAACCAGGATTGGTTTGAGTGTTATACGGCATAAAGCACCAAATTATTGTGTGCACTTTAAATCAGTCCGCGACGTAGTGTATACACAGATATGTGTAAACTGTTTAGGTACATATTGATACCGTATTATCCTTAAAATAATCATCGTCATTTATTTAACAGAATTAAAAAAAAAAAAATTTTTAGCTCATAGTTAACGAGTTTTATTCTTTCCTCATAAAAACGAAATAATTTTGCACAAAACACAATATTTCATTTCCGATCAAATGTGTTCAATCAGAAACTAGACTTACAAATACCGCGCCAAACATTACAGTGTGCGACGTCATACCTTGTTTGTGTTGTCTTTTATCTAAGTCATACATTATGTTCATGTACTACATAATCTGAGAAAGTATATAGTAGTAGGGTGAAAGCCAAATTACAAATGTTTAAACGTAATTTGTATTAAGGCAATATTAATGGAAAACCAGGACGGACTAATTAACTCAGCAGTGGGGTTTCGAATGAATATCTTATTTATCTGTATAGAGGTATGCATAAATGAAATGCAAAACTTAATCAAGTACGTAGATGTAAAAGGTATCAGAATGATGTTTCGAACTCAGTACTTTCTATGATAATGGTTATATTAATGGATATTTAAAAATACATCCTTGGGTGGTTAAATAATTAAATGTTAAAAGCGGTTTCCAACGTTGAACAGAAGCACACGTGTTGTATTAACCGGTGCTGCAATAAAGAAAGTGTAGGATGTCTAAACTTGACGTACACCATCTCATAAATGCCCTGGGGGGTCTGTTAACTACGCGCTAAAAACGTCACAGTTTGATCCAGTAATGAACTAACAATCATGCTATGGAGATTTTTGTAATGGACTACACAGAGGCCGTGTTCGTCTGTACTCCCTGTTTGATATGTATATGTTTTGATGGACGAAGTGCACGTCGGTCAGTGTCGTTGTTATGATGGTGACTGAGACCAGTGTATGGACATCATACACATGCTCTACAAAGTTGGAGTATTGTGTAAGATTCGCTCACTTCACTCGAATTAATGGAACGTTAAAGGCTCACATGGCCCCACAATTATACACAAGTGTAAACTCTAGACTTTAGTTTCATAAATATTGTTTCTATTAGCGGGAAATATTTGTGTTAGGAGCATGATGGTTATATGCTTCCTCAACATTCTCAAAATTGATTAAACTTTTACTTTTCCATTACCTGGTCTAACCTCATGTTCAAAAATTCTGTTTTATCTTTACTCAGGTTGTTCAATGCTGATGGCATTTAACTAAATAAAAAACAGTTTAAGATTGCTTCACACACTTGATATTTGCACATTTGATTTGTCTCCCTAAATATATATATTATATATCATAATATATATATTATATATGATAATATATGTTATTATATATTATACGATATATATATTATATATAAAATAGAATAGTATATCTGTCAGAACTACCGCTTGGCCTTCTTGCCTTCTAGGTCTTCTTCAGGCGATATTACATACGTATATTATAATAGTAATATCCTGTAGGCGAAAGTATATTATAATGTATATTACATACATTGTATGTATAAATATATATATATATATTATATTATGTACTGTCAACATGAATAAACAGTTCCCCTGATGAACCTCTAAAGAGATGAAAGCTCTAGGAAGGTACTACATGTAAGAAACCCTTGTCATTTATTTTTATATTATCGGATACATTTTGGGAATCTGAATCATTTTTTCGCGTGGTCAAAAATATCCATTTACGTTCATTTTTATAAGCAAATTGTCTCACTGCCAAATTGTTTTTTGCTATCAAAGTCGTATCGTCGTATTCAAAACATATTGTTATAGCAATGTTCACAGTTTCCTTGCTTATAACTCAACGGCTAAAATGCTTTATTTTGTTTCAAGCAGTTCAGATGTTAGCGCTTTTGTCTGATATAACAATGACATAGTTACATGTATTTACAAGCAAAATGTATATCGATATGCACACTTTAGAACGAAATTCGTTGGTTCATGTACTGTAAAATGTAACTGCAGCCATTTTCAGTAATAGTAGATGCTCGAGTCACATCTCTATCAGGGACAACACAAATACCTGTTGGAAAGCAAAAGCAAAAACAAAACAGCACGCACTGTAAACAAAATGACATGAAATCATATCATCAATGAAGGAGATATACCAATGTCGCTCAATCAATAGCATGGCATGGTTGACACAACAAATCCTCGTTATAGAATAACATGAAAGTTGACTCTAGGGATATGATTGTCTAAATCTAGTCATTCTTTCATAAAAGTCAAGACTGTCTGTCTCCATCGTACTTGGATTGTCTCTTGATGTTTCAGTTGTAGACAATCAATACTATAGATAAAACATTTGTTTGAGAAGCAATCGTTCAATGTTTCTTCTTATATTCCTAAATCAAATCATGTTGACGATATGGCATTCAACATATTTACATCAATATATCATAAATAGAAATCTTTCTGAATGCTGCTACAGATACCTTACATTGCAATATTTCATGCCGATCACACTATTGCTTCCTGTCATTCTCTACTGATAACTTTTTTGGACACCAAGAAGGTGTCTTAATAATTAGTTGGTGTGACTCACCAAACAGTCATAAGCCAATATAAAATATGATTTATACAATTTCTGTAGCAAACAAACATTTCACTGAATATCTCTTTGTATATCAGTGTTTTGTCACATAAACCGTATTTGTATCTTAATGCACAGTCATATAGTATGTACTCATTTTATGGTTACAGGAATGTCCAACAGGAATAGTCAACGAAGAGACGTTCAAAGAAATCTATGGCCAGTTCTTTCCTCAGGGTGGTACGTATCTGTCTTATTTAACATTGCCACGTCATGTTGTTTGTTATAATTATGAAATACTCCGCCATCTTGTTATGTTCAACGTCTCAGTGACAAAGTCTAACTAATGTATACGAGAGATTTGTTTTTAAAACAGATTAGCTGATTAGTAATCAATTATATTCTTGCAGTTGAATACAGATATTTCAAAAGTATCGGTGGCTGTGGTTTAATTATCGATTATTTCCCTCTATTCATACACGTCTGTGTAGAATTTCGTAAAGCCTGAGCAATTTCAAATATTCGCGTTCTTTGCAACGGAGAAAACACCACCCCGTCTTTTATATGGTAGTAACTGGTTAACCACTGACACGACTTAAAGACACAAATAGTTCTCCTGCGATTATTTGAAATGGCGTTTCTAGCCGCTTTTGGCGTTTCTGTTGAAAACATTGCATTTATATGTATGTGACATTTTATTTTGTTTTCTATTTACTTCGTCTTTTTGTATTTCCTTTGAAAAGCATTTGATGATTCGAAACATGACATGCAATGATCTTTCATATAAAAGCAAATGTGTTATCATATAGTATACGAGGATACCAAATACTAACGACATGGTTTTTGAAAATTTGATGATGGATTTTGTATTGTAAATTTGAATATTATTTAAACGACGAAAAAATGCCATAGACAACTATTAAACCACGGCGTAAGTTTGAAAGCTTACAAAAAGAAGGTTAAGGAATCAATACATTTATTCAAGCATTTAACAGTTTTTAGTTGGCACTCATATTCAACTTAAATTTCAAATTGAACGTGACAAATTCAAGACAGCTTGTTGCTCTTTGTCTCTTAGAACATTTTTTAAGCGATGAATATCTATTATACATTTATGACAAAAGGCGCAGTCTGTTGTCCTCTAGAATATAATAAGCTTCAAGTTCACCAAATTAGGACAAAGCAAACGACAGCGTCATTACGCCAACACATATTGTACCGCTGTATCAAGTCGAAAATCAAACAGCAAACGCTAAAACTGACAAGATGTGTCCCCGAAAAGTAAATTAAGTCTTATATATCTATTCTGTCTCGGCCATATTTTAAGACGGCCCTGTTGTTAAGATGAACGTTAACTATCAAAATAATATAGTTCTAATGATGTTTCGAATGTTATGTGTCTATTCCAGATTCCAGCGCGTATGCACACTATGTCTTCAATACTTTTGACCACGACAGGAATGGAACCATCAGTTTTGAGGTATGTCACTACTAAATCATCTATTTAGAGTAAAACAGTTGATAATTGTATACATGTAACCACAATATATTCCCGTGCTGTCTTCATCAGTATTGCGTCAACGGATGTGACGCAGATCGTTTCCTATGATTGGCGATTGATAATAACCACTACACGGCGTTGTCTGCGATCCCCGGAAATTAAACCGATAAGATTTTCTTAATTACGTTCATTGGTTTTGATAGCACGATATACCAGATCGATACAGCATGTGACCGATTACATTCATGCAAACCCGGATATCAAAAATGATTTTAATGTATTCAGTATAAATTTAAGTTGTAGCGCGTGCACATATTTGCTTACGTTCTGAATCGGACGCATTACGTCATACTTGTTATGTGCGAATACCTGTTCTTACTTTTTTTACTTCAATTGGCTATTTATAAATCATTTTTCATATTCGCTTATTATTCTAACATTTTGTGAGTTTTGCAAAAATCAATTGACTAATATCATTAATTTAAGTTTAAACGAAGCTGATCGAAAGGGTTGACAAGGTTACGTCCTCACAGGTTTCAATAAGGGTTGACAAGGTTACGTCCTCACAGGTTTCATATTCTACTGAAGTTATTAAAATAATACCATTTAGTGGAAAATTCGTTCGCGGCTCAATTAGGAAACAGTAGGCGTATTGAACAAAACATAGGGCAAAAGTTTTTGGTGGCGCTCTTAGTGTTTACCAGTTAGAACTAGTTTTGCTTGAAAATTATCTAAATGTTAGTGTTGACACCAAATACTTCTGCATAATAATAACCACTCATGTATATGGACGAATCTAACATATCTCTGTGCAACAGCTTTGAAAATATCATTTTCCTATTGATCTTACTGAAGCTATCTATATGCATCTACATGTACAGTTTGAATGTGTTTTGATTTATTCAAATCCCTGTAAAACGCGAAATTTATCCATTAAAATAGTCGAGCTAACACAGAGAGAAGCACACATATGCGAGAGAGGCTTCATGAATCATCCAGAATTTAAATCCTTATTTAATAGTAATGATCTCTACAAATCTCTACAAATAAACCAATTTTAAAATAGTTACCCCCTTTGGACAATTATTGACAATGCGACAGACATATTTTGTTGAACGTCATGACAACAATCCATTGTTAATGTTGCAAGCCATGAATCATCGAGTCATATACTTTATAATTTAAATAAGTGGTCCATGATTTGTTATTGCATGCATACACAGCCTTTGTCCCTACAGTAATCCAAACGTAGAGGGTTACACAAACAGATGGTGGTTCGTATCTATTTACTGTTTCCAAAACGTTTCAAAATTCTAAAATTAATGCCTGTTCGATGTTAGCCAGTCACCTGAGATGAATTGATGGGGTGATAGTGTGTCAGGAACATTTATTTCCCAAAAACGTGATTGTTTTTATAAAATAGTTTGATGGATAGGAATGTCCAAGCGACAAACTCGAGATATCCGACCCCGTCCATCGAGTGAAATGCAACCAAAAGTCGTTCTATATGTGTGTAATAAGCACAGAGTATTGTCCACTTTTTGTGCGTTGATGTTACTTAGATATTTAGTTCAAAATATATTCAATTATGTAATACATCTTTATTTTGGTGGTCGGGTGGTGCAGTGGATAGCGTACTTTCCTTTCACCAAGGTGGCCGGAGTTCGATTCCCCAATCGGACGTAAAAGGTTGGGGTCACCTGTTTCCTGTTTCCTTCCACAATAAGTACCCCCCCCCCCCCCCACACACACACACACACACGCGCGCGCGCGCGCTAACATCCGGGCCAACAAGAGGGATTAATAATATAAGTTGAAATAACTTGTTTCATAATTGTTGAAAAATAAATAAAGTTTATATTATTATATTATCTATATTTTTTGCACATACCTTTCCTACAGTAGGACGTTTTTGAAGCTAGGGAATCGTATTCAAAGTCTCTTTTTTTGGCAATATTTATTATTGGGTGTGATTGTAACACTGTGGAAAACATTGAAAACATCTATTACAATGTTTTGTAAAACAAAAACGTATGACAATAAACCGTTACAAACAACAATCCTTATTTAACAATGAATAACAGCTTGGCTTGAGTATTCCATTGGCGTTATTTTCTAAAGATGGATTTTATTTTCAACGTTTTTGCTATTAAGCAGTCGTCCTGACATGTTACTTCGGTGAAAATCTTCAATGCCATTGTCTGGGATATAATTCAATATGGCACCAGAATAAATTACCTTCCTTCATCGAGATCTCCTTTACAGTAGCTGTCGGTGAGGTTAAGTATATAGAGAGATCCCTTGACAATCCTTACTCGTAAATATTTCTCTCTCTAATTCCACTAGGTATAGACTCGACGAGATAACTACGCTTTCTGTCAGAACGTACTTGAAACAATGCCTGACAAAATCACTTTATTGGATGATATTTGCAGATTAAATGCTGTTATTGTGAGGTTATTTGTGGAACGTGTCGATTATATGCTGAAAAATACTATAACATTATTTGACGGCCATGCTATACGTGGGATGCAATAGTAAATAACACACTAGACTATAAAGATACAACACCTATTCACAAAAATTGTAGACTGATGCTTAAAGATAGTCATTTAAAATGCACTATTTGGTAATTTTGTCTGTTTAGGTGGCGTTACTGGTCAAAAGACTGAAAACCATTTCGATAGTGTCCTGAAACATATGATAAATAAAGCGAAAGGTGCATATCAAACTTGTTTTCAAACGTTACATTTTTTTAACATTTGAATAAACCGATAATTTAAGTAAGTATATCATGTAAAAAGTGTCAGAGTAGATTTTCAGCTATGAAGTTACATCCAACCACAGCGACTGAAAGATCACCAGCAGAGTACGGCGACCCTGACGGATTGATAGTCAACCAGCAGAGTACGGCCACCCTGTGGGACTGATAAGTCTACCAGCAGAGTAAGGCCATCCAAGGGAACTGATAGTCAACTAGTAGAGTACGACCACCCTGAGGGTCTGATAGTCCACCAGCAGAGAACATCCACCCTCGGGGACTGATAGTCTACAAGAAGAGTACGGCTGACCTCGATAACTGATAGTTGACCACCAGAGAATGCCAACTTCGGGGACTGATAGTTTACCAGCAGGGTGCAGTCACCCTGAGAGACTAATGGTCCACTAGCAGAGTATGGCCACCCTGAGGGACTGATAAGTCCACCAGCAGAATACGACCAACCACGGGGACTAATAGTTCCCCAGCAGAGTACGGTCGACCTTGGGGACTGATAGTTACCAAGCAGAGAACGGCTCTCCTGAGGGTCTGATAGTCCACCATTAAAGTACGGACACCCTGAAGGACTCATAGTCAACCAGCAGAGTACGGCCTACCTAGGGGACTGATTGTTCACTAGCAGAGTATGGTCACCCTGAGGGACTGATAGTCCACCAGCGGAGTACGGTAACCCTGAGGGACTGATAAGTCCACCAGTAGAGTACGCTCACCCTTGGGGACTGATATTCCATCAACAGAGTACGTCCACCCTTGGGGACTGATAGTCCATCAACAGAGTACGCTCACCCTGACGGACTGATAGTCCATCAACAGAGTACGCCCACCCTGACGGACTGATAGTCCATCAACAGAGTACGCCCACCCTGACGGACTGATAGTCCATCAACAGAGTACGCCCACCCTGACGGACTGATAGTCCATCAACAGAGTACGCCCACCCTGACGGACTGATAGTCCATCAACAGAGTACGCCCACCCTGACGGACTGATAGTCCATCAACAGAGTACGCCCACCCTGACGGACTGATAGTCCATCAACAGAGTACGCCCACCCTGACGGACTGATAGTCCATCAACAGAGCACGCCCACCCTGACGGACTGATAGTCCACCGGCAGATATCGGCCAACTTCAGGGACTGATTGTTCAACAGCAAGGAATGGTCACCCTGATAGACTGATGAATGGTCACCTTGAGAGACTGATGAATGGTCACCCTGAGAGACTGATAAGTTCACCAGCAGGGTACTGCTAACCTCGGGGACTGATAACTCCCCAGCGGAGTGCGGACCTTCTCGGGGACTGATAGTCCACCAGCAGGGTACTGCTAACCTCGGGAACTGATAGTTAACGATTAGAGCACGGCCAACCCCGGGGACTGATACTCCACAAGCAGAGTGTTGCCATCCTCGGGGACTGATAGTCTACCAACTGAGAACGGTCACCCTGAAAGACTGATAGTCTACCACTAGAGTACGGCCAACCTCGGGGACTGATACTCCACAAACAGAGTACGGCCAATCCCGGGGACTGATAGTACACCAACAGAGTAATACCAACCGCGGGGACTGATAGTTCGCAATCAGTGTACAGCCAACCGCGGGGAGTGATAGTTTACCAGCAGAGTCAATACATTTTTGACGTTAAATATTCTGTAGAAATACGACTAATGGAAGTTGTTTTATGACAAAGCAATAACCCGAAAAGCAAGATGCTCACTCTACCGTTTGGCCATTACTACTTGGCAAATACAATAATTAATTTTACTTGTGATATACCGGGTTTGTATTATAGTCATCACACCAATGATATCGCAAATTGGTCTTCGTACTATGTAACTAACATGTAAGCCTAGCTCAAGATAAACATGTCTCTGAAAGAAAGATACTACTCTTTGTCCAACATTTTGTCTGAACCATGAATCTAATTGAGTGTGGGCTTGCTTTTACTCTAACCAAACATGCCGCTCCAAGTAATATCCCTGTTTCGAAAGAATTATTAATTTGCAGTGGAGCTTCAATGCACCATGATTTATTACTGCTATCATGGAACATTTAAAATATGAATATCATTGATTATTCAACAATGACCAAATCCATCCAAGAAATGGTCTCGGAAAAAATAACTGATTATGGTTTACTCTTTAACATGTACCAATAAATCATTGAACTTGCGACCGTTAGCAAGTCATGCATCTAAACA